ACAAGTTCAGTAACATACATGATTATTCAAATACTGTAATTTTGCTTTTTGGTGTAAGTGGACCTAAAGTTGTTGGGTTAAATATACATCTATTATTTTGATAAAATGTTTATTTTTATATTGCATTTTCTAAGATGGAGCTGTCAAAGTGTTTTATTATGCATGACTGGGTATTAAACAGTTCTACCATAACTGCTTCTGTTAGTTCAGTAACATACATGATTATTCAAATACTGTAATTTTGCTTTTTGGTGTAAGTGGACCTAAAGTTGTTGGGTTAAATATACATCTATTATTTTGATAAAATGTTTATTTTTATATTGCATTTTCTAAGATGGAGCTGTCAAAGTGTTTTATTATGCATGACTGGGTATTAAACAGTTCTACCATAACTGCTTCTGTTAAGTGTTCAGGTACAATGCTTCTTTAAGTAAGGTTAGATGTCACTGAATTACTCCTAAAGGTGCCACTTAATCTTATTTCCCTGTGACATCTGATTTTTTTGCAAGAGGTGTGTATCAAAGTGGCTTGCATCTGAATTCAAACTACTTGTCTGAATGTGAGCTGCTGTTAAGTTTTACCCTCCTACCTGGGCAAATTGGAAAGCTGGATTCTTCAAATATTACACAATGAGGCCAATACTTCAAGCAAGATGTATTATGATGGCTAGAACTTGATTACTCAAAGTACTATCAATTTGAATGTTAAAGTGACTTAGACCAACTGACATTCCATTTGGCCAGTCTTGGAGAATCTTCATAGGTGAAAGCAAGATGTGACCTAAATCTGCTCAGATGCAAGAAAACTAATTTAGCATTCTCAAGATACTCATACTAAGATAACAAATACTGCCTACTAATGCTGGATATTTAACTGGAAAGAAGCCTCCAGGAGGTTATTGTGCTGCACACTATGCAGTCAGCATCCAGAATAAAACAGGAAATGAACCCTAGTTTAGTATCTACTACTACATTAAATAAAAGGAGTCCTGACTTCTAATATATAGCCCTTTAACTTAGTCATGGTTGTAGGATAGATAGTATGTAGCCCTTCCCTAATTTTTCCTTCTTTCCAACTCTTACCAACACACTATTGGTTGTAGTATCTTTGGTTATAAACTTATTGATGCCAGGCCAAAATACAGCTCCTTAGCTACAGCAGCGAGTGGATGTGCTCAGAAACTTAATCATGCTCTTAGGAGTGAATTGTCACTGACACTGTACATGCACTAGGGTGCAGTAAAAAGCTAAAAATTAAAAGATAAGTTTGAATCCCTTCTTCCTCCTAGTGCTAATAGCCTGCAGTAAAAAACAAGTCCACTCTGCAACATGTTTTGTAAGTGTGCTCATCAATTTGCCATTTAACATGATTCAGCATGAGAAGACTAGAATGAGGGTGTAATAACCATGTTTGAGAGCATAGATTAAAAGTAGTGACATACCACTTGATCCATCAACTACTAAACAGCACATGATTTAAACACCAGCTGCTACGAGCAATCCAAAATATTGTTGGAGATTATGAATTTGTTGCCCAGGTCTTTGCACTTAGCTAGAACAGAGATATGAAAGAGGTTTTGACCAGTTAATCTATATTTTAATCATATGCATTTATAGTGCAAATACTGACTCATAAGCACATACAAATTGAACTAGTTGGAAAAAAAACCAAACAAACAAGTATTTTCCCAGCATAATTTTAATTTGAAGTTACTTTATACCAATATACTTCTGCTAAATCAAAATTAAAATAACTGGAAAACAAGAAGCATAGTGTCTGTAAAATTTGCCTCCTACATATTAAAAGTTTTCTAGGAACAGGAATTAGTTAATAGCTGCACATCTTCTAGATAAATTGGTCTTGTAGTGAATGTATAAGTTTCTGCCCACAAACAGGAGGACACTCTTTTGGACAACCTTTTACCATGGAATGTAGAAACTTACACTGTATGGCTTACATGTCCGCATACTGAAGCATTGGTACAACAGTGCATTAGGTTGAATACAGCTTAGTCTTTAAAAATATATTACTTTGTTCTCAGTATTGTGTTGGAACTAATGGATGCTACAGGTGTTTTGTGCTGCAACACTACCAGCACAGCCTGTAGATTATCTTAAATGCACTAATAACCACACAATATGAAATAGTATCAAAAGTAACAGTTTAGATTTTGCATCAAGCATTACATGATTCAGCACTTTCTATCCACCTGCATGTAACATGAAAAAATGCATTTGCCTTAGTTTAAGAAAAAAAACTTGAAGCAATACAGGACATTTTGGCTTTCAGCAGAGGAGCTTCAGGCATTTTCATAATATCAGATACCCACAATCATTAAGCGAAGTCCCGATTGGTAAGAACAAGAGGAGCCACTAGGGTCCAGAGATAAAGGAGGAGGCAGACCCAGCTTGAGGTGATCTTCACCCACACGGCTGGCCACTTGCTTGTCATAGTTTTGAAGTCTGCATCAGGACTGTAACAATGGAACACAGTTGTTAACAAGTTTCTTCTGCCACTCTCTCTGCATTTTTACCAAATTGAAGGTATATTCCACCAGTTTCCAAAAAGGCTCCTCATCTTAAGTGAAAACCCTAAAATGCAGTCACTCCTGTCAGAATTCTAGAGGTGTCCTACCACCTAAGCTTAGTATGTCCAAGCCTGTGTAAATTTATGAACCACCACTCTTAAAATTGACCTTACAGCCAGTTATTAACCAACTTCAGTTCTTTATTTGAGGCAGCTGTTCCTCCACATACTCTCAGAAACCCTGAAAAAAAACTGCAAGACCACCCCATATAGGCTAACCTATTATCACAAGAAAAAGACAGTAAGAAGATGATGGGGGCAGCCTTAAAATAGATTCTCTCAATAGCTCTGGGGCAGAGATGGCCAACCTATGGCTACAGAGCCACATGCAGCTCCTTATATAAGGTGCTCACTGTGTAACCCCCAGCTCTGCCCTAGGTGCTTCCCCTCTAGGAAAAGGAAAAGGAAAAAGAGGCGCTGGTCGGTGGGGCTGCCAGTGGGTGGGATGTGATGAATGGTGGTGGGGAGATGATCAGGGCTGGTGACAGAACTGCTGCTCTTTGGCAATATGCATTGGTAAATTTCTGGCTCCTTGGGTTTAGGTTGGCCACCCCTGCTCTAGGGGACCCCCACCACATAAGCGATTTCTATGTCTGTCTAACATGCCTTTGGCTTATATTCTCAATATCAAGCTGGGCAGAACAGAACTGTTCAAGAGAAAGTCCCTGATTAGTTCATTATACCAAAAGGAGGAAGAATGCACAGCCATAGGACTCGAAGACAGATCAACTAGTTAGTCTGGTATCTTCTGTCCTAGCAAAATTTGGACAATCTTTTATGCAGGCCCACCCAGCCTATTTCTACTATCAATGTCTTAAATGCTTTTTACTGTTTTCCTAGCCTATTTCAGCAGCCCAGAACGCCAACTATCACCATAATTTTGATCCAACTAGCATGAAGGGAAGACCTCAAGCCATAGGATACATGTCCTGGATTCATGAGTAGCCTTCAGACTTCCAATTCCTAAACTATCAGTAAACTTTTTAGATATCGAG